GACCGTTTGTCTATCCCCTGAAGAGAACGGGCGTGACCAGGGGAAGGGGTGAGGGGGGAGGGGGCTGGTCAAGTCACGAATCGAGCCGGCGCCGGCACGAATTGTGACTTGAGGTGGGGGGGGCAGGGGGGGGGGGCGGGCCGGTCAGGGGCGTTGTCACGAATAACAGACAAATGGGTTCCTTGCTAGTCTCTTTCCTTTCTCCCCCTCTCCGCCGCGGCTCGCCTTGCCCACCACTCGCGCTCGGAGCCCAGCGCACGCGCGCTGCGCGAGCTAGAGGGTTGTGCCCCTCTGCGACGGGGGATATTGTCGACAGGGCCACGGCTGCTTCCTCATTTTGAACCCTCGCGCGCCACCTCATCTGGCCTTGTGATTACTCCCAGGAGTCGATATAACAAAACAATGCACTTTTGCGCTGCAACGCGGCAGAGGCAGTCCGCACGCGCGTCCAAGCAAACCAGGCAACGGTATAGCGAATTGTTCCGCATGCAGGAGAATTGGAAAAGATGACGAACGGCCGCGGAGGGGTGGCAACTAAGGGGGGAAGGCGCACTGACGCGGCGAAGCCGCAACGGGGTGCGCGGGGCGGCCGAGCTGGTGCAGCAACCCTGGCGGCGGGCGCGGGGCGGCATCACGAGCGCACCCAGGGGTGCGTCCAACAGCTGCAGCGCTGGGCGAGGCCCAGCAAGACGGGAGAAGGAAGGCCAGAGCTGCGTGGACTGCGGTCCGTTCACCAGAGTGGGAGCCGGTGCAGCTGCTGGGGAGGCTGCGCTGCTGGCGAGCTGCAGAGGCGGACCCGGAGCCAGGGTGGTTCGACGGGCAGACGACGCAGCGGTGGCGAGGGCGGTGCGCGTTCACAGCGCAGGGCAGGCTGGCAGCCACGAGGAAGAGAGACGCGAAGTGGCCGGGCGTAGCCACTACGGCCGGAAAGGAGCCAGGGCAGACGGAGCCATAGGCAGCGAACGCGTAAGGCGAGCGCGCCCGTGGCGGGGCGAGGGCGCACCAGCTGGGGTGGATGGCGCGCGCTTCCTGGGGTGCCAGGAGCACTTCGCCAGTGCACAGAGAGGTTGGTCAAGAGTTGGGCAGGAGCTTCAGCGGGCGCGAGGCGCAGCACCTGGGGTGGATGCCGCACCCGCGGAACAGTAGCAAGCGCATCACCGCGGATGGATGGCGCGCCGAGTGAGACGCACCTAACCAGTGCACAGCCTGGTGATTGACCAGGGCAGCCGGGCCCACGCAAATTAGCGCCCGCTTCCAGGAACAGTTAGGCAGCCCAGACCCGGATGCCGAGGCGACTCCGACTATGGCGACAGGGAAGGCACCGTCCTCCTCCCATAGAGGCGACCAAGGGCGCAAGAGCACCTCTCTGGAGCAGCTGCGCACGCGTGGCCCCCAGCACCTCATACTGGTTGAGGAAGCGCCGGAGGAAGGTGGCATCGTACCAGCTGGGGTCGCGGGTGTTACCTCCACGCCGAGCACAGAATCGATGTCAGACCGCCCCACTTTCACTCCCTCTGATACACTCCTCCTGATCCGTGCCACACGGGCCCCCCTAGAGCTCAGGAAGTCGAGCACGACGCGAGTTGGGACATCCTCAGGACGCGCCCGCCCCTTGCCCTGCTTCGTATAGTCCGAGGTAAACGAGTCCCATTGGACGCGGGTGTCTGGCAACGAGGTCCAGGTGCCCTTGACGAGTTGCAGAAGCTCGCGCCGTGCGGGCCGAGGAGCTCCCCCTCGCGAGCCGGCGCTGGAGCTGCCAGTGGCGCCAGAGCCGCCCGTGGCCGTCGTCGCAGGGGAACTGCGAGGAGCCCCGGGAGCGGGCGGAGGGTTCACGTACGGATGCGTGCCCGCGGCGACCCAATCGTCGGCTTGAGCCCACGACGTGGCGGGCCGCAAAGACGAACACCACGCAACGACGAGACTGGCAGGCCGGGCGCAGGCGGGAGCGTCGCAAGGGTCGGCGGGCTTGGCGTGGGGGAGGGCGTCGGGGAAGGTGTCGGGGAGGAAGCCGTGCGAGGCATCATCGTGGGGGGCGCCGGGCAGGGCGTCGTCGGGAGAGGCGTCGGGATGGTCGCGGGGCTGGGCGTCGGCTGCGGCGTCGGGCAGGGCGCCGGGTCCATGCGCGTAGGGCTCGGCATCGTTGTCGCCCACTTGGCCCGCCCAGCAAGGCCGCGGGCCTGGCGTGCAAGGGAGGCGAGCCTCTGCCTGCGCGACGCCCACAATGGCCCGCCCCGCGCGTCGGTCACATCCATTGCATTCCGGCGTCAGGGACCGCAAAGGGGCGAAACGACCCTTGGCAGCCAACCGGCGGACCGCCAGCGCATCGGGGTCGACGCCGCACATTCCGTCACCATCAGACTTCGCATCCTGATCAGCTTCGAACGCCTCTGGATCAGGGATTGGGCGGCTCAAGGTCACCGCAGCTGGAAAGGCAGCCAGAGGGGTCAGCTGGGGTCCGCTCGGGTCTGCACCGCGCCTTGGCAGCTGGGTTCCGCTTTCCGGCCGCGGCGACGAGGGCTCTCCAGGACGAGCAGCGGCAGCAGGATCTTCCTCCGACGCCCCGAGACGCTGGTCGTGGCGACGAGGGCTCTCCAGAACGAGTAGCGGTGTGAGGATCGTCTCCTCCTCCGCCTCCCCGAGAATCGGGCCGTGGCGACGAGGGCTCTCCAGGACGAGCAGCGGTAACAGGACCTTCCCCTCCGACGCCCCGGGGAGCCGGCCGCGGCGACGAGGGCGCTCCAGGACGAGCAGCGGCACCAGGATCGCTCCCTCCCCGGACTCCCCGAGAAGCCAGCCTTGGCGACGAGGGCTCTCCAGGACGAGCACGGTCTGGGCCATTCATGATGGATGGGTCGGCCCCCGTGCTCGGGGGCAGGGTGCCCTCCGCGCCCTCCACCACGTTGCCCCCGTCATCCCTCGCCGCGAGCAGTACCGCTGTCGCTGCCGCACCGCGCCTCGGGCCCTCGGCATGGCCGTGCTCGGCGGGGCGGAGGCTTAGGCAGTCGACGCCACCTTTTCCTCGCAGCATGCTGAGGCTGCACCCCGCGTCCGCTGCTCCGTCATGCCGGGCTTGCCCCTGACAAACACCCTACTCCGCCTCATGAACTGATCTAGAGTCTCCCTCGCTCTTTTCCAGGCGGGCACCAAGGACGCGACTAACCGTCGCACAGAGGTGGAACAGCGCACGCCAGCACCTGCGGTTTTCCAGCATGGCCTGGGATGGCCACGCTGGGTTCCAGAGGTAGCGATGGTTGGGTGGACCTGGGCATCACGGGCGCTGAGGGGTCGGCGACGCCGACAGGCTCATCACTCCAGACTCATTGGGATCTTCCGTGGCCTTGCCTTCAGGGGCACTCTCTATTTCCGCGGGCCCAGCCTTTGCCATGCCCTGCGCCCTCGGCACTCATCGCACCAGGATCGCGACGAACCATCGCCCAGACGGGTGGATCCGTGCACGCCGGAGCCTGGGGGTCCCCAGTGTGACCTGGGACGGCCACGCTAGGCTCCCGCAGGGCAGGCGGCGGAGAGGGGATAGGCTTCACAGGCCCTGTGGGTGCGGAATCGCCGCAAGGCTCGTCGGTTGGGCCCCCACGAGGCCTCCTGCCGCCTTCGTTTGGGCCATCGTTGCCGACGCCGCCTTCGGGCCCCCTGGCGCCGCTGGCCCCGCATCCTCGTTCCCACGCCAGATCCAGGCACAGAGAGGTCGAGCACACCGCAGCCTGCGGATCACCAGCATGACCTGGGATGGCCACGCTAGGTTCCTACAGGGTTGCCAGCGGAATGGGCCCCAGCCCCCTACGCCCAGGGGGTGCGGAGATGCACCCACTAGGCTCGACCCCCTCCACGCCGTCGTCGGCGAAGCCGCCCTCCTCCACTTTCTGTTCGACGACCTCCTCCACTTCGACCTCGGAAGCCTCGGACGGCTCCGCCTACAGCTCAGAGACCTGCTGCCGAAGTCGCGCCGTCTCGTCGTCCTCGGCCGTGCCCGCGTCCATCTCGTGGCCGGCGACGTCGGTCCGCACCTCGTCCACCGACTCCGCCAAGCCGAACGAGCAGCCTCCGCCAGGCGCTCGGCCCCCAGCAGTGCCGCACCCTCGGTCGCCGGAGCGGCCACGCGCTCGTGCTCCGCCAGGCGCACGGCCTCCGCCGCACGAGCGGCGCGGGCCTCCGCCGGGCCCTCGTCCTCCACCAGCCGCTCGGACCCCAGCAGGAACGCCAGGGGGAGGGGCGGCGCCCACGGCGCGGGAGGCGGCCGCCCGCCGCGACCGGCGGCGGCGGCGAGCCGCAGCGGCGGCCGCCGCAGAGCACGGAGCGCCGGCGGCGGCGGCGGCGGCGGCCGCGGCAGCAGGGCCCGCGGCGCGGGCGGCGGCAGCGCGCCGCTGCCGCCGTCGCCGCCTCGCCGCGGGGGTCACCACATCGGCAGCCATGCCGAGCGGCGGCGGCGGCGCGGGGCCCGGCCGCGCCGCCCAGGCCGCGCCGGCCAACCGACCGGCTCGAGCCAGGCTACCGCAAAACAAAGAAAGATCACGAAAAACAGCGGGTTTGTTGTGCTTCTCTCCTCTCTCCCCCTTGCCCCTCCTTCTTGGGCCTGGGAAATTCCTGGGTACGTTCGTCGTTCCAACGGCCGCCATTGGCCACGCCGTTTGTGTGCCCAGCGGCGCTTGGCGACCGAGGCGAGCTCTTGGATGTGTGCTCGCGGTGAAGAAGCAATCCTCCCTCAGATCTGATATGCTCTAGCGCGCATCCTCCTCCTCCTCAGGGGCAACGGTAAGGGAGGGGGACTGGCTCAGGGGGGAAGGCATCGACCCCCAATTGCCCATTGATCGCCATGGGCCCGATAGCCCGCCCCGCTCAGGAACGCGCGGTTTGGCTATCGAGGGCCCAGCGCCGATCTATCGGCGATGTATCGCGGTGTCGTGGGAGGTCTTGGACCAGGGGAGCGCTGCGCCTCCTCCGCCGCCTCTTCCCCCGCGCCTCCAGAGAAGGGGTCCGGCGGGGAGGGTGTTCGCCTCCAAGTCGGCCTGCTTCAAGTGCGGGGCCCGCAAGGAGCGGCGGGCTGCTGGGCGCCGCCCCGCGCCCAGGAGGAGGAGAGGCTGGAGGACCGGATCAGACGGCAGGGGATGGGTACTCACGGGAGGGCGAGCCGAGGCAGCGGTATTTGGCCTTCGGAGGGCGTCCTCGTCGCCACGGCGGGGCGCAGCTGAGAAGATGGTGAGCGTTTGGGCCCCAGGAGGGGTCTGGGGACCGATTTTGAGCCGCCCTTTGGTCAACGCGCCCTGCTCCGAGGCACGGGGCGATCGCATGCCGTCAGCTGCGCCTCGTCGAGAACCCCCCCGGGGGATGCCAAGATCGTCCCCAAACGGTTGCCGTAGGACCCGAGGCATGGCTCGAAAACCAGACGACGAGGATCACTCGGGTCTGGCGATAGGGGGATTTGGAGAGGGGAAGGTACGACAATTGCGGTATTCAGCCGGTTTGGGCCCCGCGGCCAGGCGCTTTCTTGTGCGTATTGGCGCCAGGAGGCGCCGGGAAAATCAGTTGCAGGATCTTCTTCGCTAATTCAAATGTTGATACCATCCCCTATCGCCCGACCCAGTAGGAGGAGGTGTCGGGGCGCAAGTAACAGAGGCAAGCCCCGACAGGGGTCAGCCAATCCCCTCTTGCTGATCTGGGTTAGAGAACCACGTGAAGCCGGCCCTCCGCTGACCCCGGCTTGGGAGCTAGTCTAGACGCTTCGCGTAACCCCACCGGCAGGAAGCGTGGGTCGGGCGCTGCCGTCAGCCATACACTCGGTGACACCCGGTGTCTGGCCTCGTACTGGGAGTGGCCCTGCTCTGAGTGGTTCAGCCTTCTGCAGTTTGTGGTCGCTCCCCTTGCAGGGCAGTCTGCAGAGCCCCCGTCACTTCTTTACATCGTTTTGCCCCCGAACTGCGAGAGTCGGTTACGGTGTGCAAGCACTGGCTTCGGCTGAAGGTGGCTCAGCCTTGTGAACGCGTCCCAGCCACCAGCCCTCGTCAGAATTTGCACCGTTGTACCCCCAGACTGCGTGAGTCGGAGACGATGTGCTCATACTGGCTATTGGCTGCAGGTGCAACGGGCGCGGCCGTCAGCCATACATTCGGTGACCCGGTGTTTGGCTTCGTCAGGGGGCGGCCCTGCTTTGAGTGGTTCAGCCTTCTGCAGTCCGTGGTCGTTCCCCCCGGCAGTGCAGTCTGCAATCAGCTCACGCCAGTACTTTGCATCGTTGTGCCCCCGAAATGCGCGAGTCGGATACGATGTGCACGCACTGGCACTGGCTGGAGGTGGCCTAGCCTCGCGAACACACCCCAGTGGTTTCCTTCCGCTTTGCGTTGTAGTCGCGGATCTGCCACACTTCAGACACAGTGAGCCTTGATGAGACAGGCCTTGTTCGCCGCACCACCGCTGATTCGGGGTGCCGCAGTGAGCCTGTGGTAGTCGCTCGCTTTCGCTCTCTTCTTCCCCCCGCCTCCTGGCCTCCCCAATGTGGTTCGGCTGGAGTTTGGCGTCGAAAGGGCGACTTCTCCCTTCCGCTCCACCGCCGGTCGCCGCGCCTGCGTCCCCACCAGTTGGGATGTCTGGTTCGGTCTCTTGCCAACGCAGCTTGCGTTTTAATGAGGGTCATTTTGTCCCTTGCACGAGCATGTGCCTCGGTGGCCAATGTACATCGTCACGCGCCCCGGACGCTGTCTTTGCTCCCTGTCATCCGCCTTGGAGCCGCGAACCAAAAAAAGTAACCCCACCACAGCCCATTCAGAAACGATGCCCAGGCGAGTAGGCACATGCAGTGGAATAACGGGCTGGGGAAGCCTTCCTACCGCAAAAACGGGAGGATGGATCGTCGTCGTCGTCGGAGGGGGAGGGGAGGGGGAGAGGGCAAGCTCGCACCAGATCTGTCGTCATACCCCTCCCTCCCAGCCCTTACCATGGCGCAGATCTCCTCTTGATGCGCACAGGCTAATAATACCGAAGCAAGGCAATGATCATGAGAGGGTTTGCGATGCATGGTAAAGCACGGCATAGCATGATGTAGAAAAGCGCGGCAGGACAGAGCATGTCATAGCATGGTTTTGCATTGCGTAGTGTAGCATTGCGTCACAAAGCGTAACATCGAAACATGGCATCGCACAGCGGAGCACAACGCAACATCGCATTGCATGCCATGGCATGGCACCGGATGCCTTGGAAGGTAAATGGCCCATATACGAAAAGAGAAGACCTGTCCAGAATCCCGGCCCCATGTCCTGCGCAACCGTGCCTGCCCGATGTGAGCGTTTTCGAATGCCAAGTGCCGCTTGATAGGAGGTATTGTAATAGCGTAAGGCCCCCCCGTTCCTTTCGACACGTTGCCTTGCGTTCCCCGAGCCCCTTACAAGTCTCCCTGGGCTCCCTGGGCAGCTCTGCACGAGGCGTGGCGGATGGCCCGAAGACTTCTGGATGCTCCAGGGAACGTACAGAAATTGCCGACGGCGACAACGACGCAGACGACGACGGCGGCGGCGGTGGGGGGAGAAGCTGCGGCGGGCGAGGACGGATGTCAGGGAATAGTACGGCGGGCTGCGAGGCTCGATGGTTTGGCTTCCTTGAACAATCGGCTCACACTGGGTCCCTGGACCCCTCACGGGGTCAAGTCGGATCAGCCGGATCATGTTTCAAGGTCGTCGGGGGGTGGTTTCTACGTCCCCCAAAAAAAACGAATCGACACCGAATGTGTATCACTTCCGAGGGTTTTTCTGAGGGAGGCAATTTTTAAGATTTTGGGGACTATTTGGAAGGACCGAAAACCGTGCCGTGGCATGGCGCTGGAAATAATGACGCCAACGCTGCAGCGGGAGCACGGTTCGGAACGAGCGGAAGCGCGGAAATGAGGCCAGCTTTGCAGCGGGAACGCGATTCGGAGGACGCGTAGCTTGACATAGCATGGCGTGTGGGGGGGGGGGCTTCTGCGGTCTCAAAATTCAAAGAATCGGCACGGAATGTGTACATAATCACTTCCGAGGGTTTCTTCGGGGGGCAAAATTTAAGATTTCGGGGCCTATTTGGAAGGACCGAAACCCCCGCTGCAGCGGGAGCACGATTCGGAACGAGCGGAAGCGCGGAAATGAGGCCAGCGTTGCAGCGGGAGCACGATTCGGAACGAGCGGTAGCCCGAAAATGAGGCCAGCGCTTCAGCGAGAGCAGCATTTTGAGAAAAAAACAAGCGAAAACCCAACTCCCGGGAATCCTGCGTGTAAGAAACCAGTAAGCGGAGGGAGGCCAGACATTTCCCAGACGTCACCAGGGGAGACAGGAGATTTGTATTCATATTGAGTAACAGTAAAAGGGTGGAGGGAGGAGGGGGAACACGCGGAGGAGGAGGAAAAGGAGGGGAAGGAAGAGGAGGAGGAGAAGGAGGAAGAGGAGGAGGGCGAGCAGAATGGCCAGAAGCTTCTTGGATGCCTCTCGGAGTCTCTCCGGATGCCTCCTGATATCTTCTTGGAGTCCTCAAGGGGTGGCGTGGGGTCCTGGGAACCTCTTGAAGCGTCTTGGGTGCCTCGGGGGAGCCTCCTTGGGCTTCATGGTCCTCGAATACATTGGTCTACGCTTAGCGACGACTCCGTGCACAAGCGCTACCTGGGCACCATTGCCACTAAGGTGGACGGCAAGGAGTTCCTGGTCATGGATGGCAAGGACGGTGCGGTGTTCCACGCGAAGGATCTGGCGTCCATCCCATGGGGCGCGGCGTGCGCTTCTTGCATTTACGAGTCTACGGGCGCGCTCACTGCCAAGGAGAAGGCCGAGCTGCACATTGGTGGCGGGGCCAAGAAGGTCATCATCACTGCCCCTCCCAAGGACTCCGTCCCGATCTACGTTGTCGGTGTGAACCACACCGAGTACAAGGCCTCGGACACCGTGGTCTCGAACGCGTCCTGCACCACGAACTGCCTGGCCCCGCTGGCCAAGGACGAAAAGCTCGGCATCGTGGAGGGCCTCATGACCACGGTGGACGCGATGACGGTCACACAGCTCACGGTGGACGACCCTTCTCGCGGTGGCAAGGACTGGCGTGGCACGGCAAGTGCCTCCCAGCCGTGCACGGCAAGCCCACGGGAGTGGCGCTCCGCTTGCCCACGCTGGGCGTGTCGGTCGTGGACCTGGCCTGCCGCCTGGAGCAGGGCGCGAAGTATACGACGAGACCGTGGCGGCCGTGTGAAGGAGGCGGCCGCGGGCCCGATGAAGGACGGCCTGGGCTGGACCGACGAGGAGGCTCCGTGCGGGCGCCAGCGGGCCACCTGTGCCGATCCCGGGGGGACTGACTGGTGCACGCGGCCTCCCTGGCGAGGGTAGGGCCCTGATCGCTGGATGCTGGAACTTTCCAGCTGCGACCGACGACATCGGTCGCCACCGGTTTTGCTTCAAATTCCGGGGTCGGGCGCAACCGGTCGCGACGGATTTTGGAACTAGTCGCGGCCGATTTGGGGTGCCGATCGGTCGCTGCCCATCGCGACCGAACGAATATGGCATCCAATGATGTGGGGGGGTCGCGTCCCTGACGTCCTCGCGCCGTGGAGAAATCACTACACAACGTCTTGTGGTGCAGTTTTCGGCCTCGGGGGGGAGGCCTTGCCAGGCCCCGCGACCGTCAAAAGACGACTCGGGATGAAAAGCTGGTCCTTGGGAAAAAATCCAGACCTCTGAGTACAAGATCGGGTGGTGCTAGAAGTGCCCCTGACCCAAGGCGCCTCCAGGATGTTCAAGGAGGCCCCCATGGCCCCAAGAGAACCCCTCACGAGGCCCAGAGGACCCCGAAGCTGAGGGCACCTTGGGCCACGGGCACCTTTCGCAACACCCGAGGGGAGCCGCGTCGTGAAAAAGCACGGGGTCGGATGACTGGGAGTGTCCACCAGTCTTTGGGCTTGTGATCGGCCTGATCGGGAAAGGTGCACATGGATGATCTCGGGGGCGTCGACGAGGGGGTGAGGACTTGGGGTGGTATATCATGGCCAGGGCCATGAAATCTCTCCGATCTCATGGCCCCCTGTTCTTCT